GAGTTTTGTGTTAGGGAAATTACTTTTTTTTTAAAAAAAAAAAAAAAAAAAAAAAAGTTTTAATATCACAAGATGTGATATTTTGCCAAAAGCCTCGATTTTTCTAGTGCTGTAATTCTTGAGTTATTTGCTTTTTACTCTTAAACTGAAGGACCTATCTCTCTCAGGCTAGCTAAAAGCTTCAAATTGTCCTTTAAGAAAAGGCTCAAGTCTTTTCTTTTGAGACTGCTTAACCTCTGGGACTTGCCTTAGCAGCTCAAGGATGCATGGGGCTGGAATGAGGTGGTTTGAAAGACTTAAACTCTCTCTGTCCTTTAGAAGGACCTAGACACTGGGTTATGGACACAAAACTTCTCTCTCCTGATTTTCTTGGGCTTTCTTGATGCCAAGTTTGAGTTGTCCTCAAGATTTTACTGTACTAATTTATAAAATGTTTGAGAAATCTTATATTATGATCTTATTTCAGTACTAAATACTGTTTATCTGCTTTTTAGTATGGTATCTTTTTAAGTTCAAACCGTAGTCTTACCTTTCCTGTCTCCAATTTCTAGCCTTTGTGCTTCAGATGGGGAAGGGAACAACTGGTAGTTTCAATCTAAGAATCTGTTTTTTGGCAGAAAATGTCAGGGGAAAAAAAATTATAGTGTGCCCTAATAGATAAGAAATAGATGAGAGTGGATGCTGAATTCAGCTGGGTTGCAGGGTTCTAAAAACTGCTTCGGACTTTTCAGTTTATAGGAAAGGCAGATCCTGTGAGTGTCTGGCTTTTCCCATTCTGAGATACATTTTGGTGAAAAGGTTGGCATTTGGCATGATGTGTGGTGCAAACTATATATGCTGGTCTTATCTAAAGCATAATAGAGATAAAGTTCAGCTTAAGTTTTTCAGCTTTTGTATTCTATTTTAACTTCTTTGTTAACTCCTGCTGGTGCAAGGAGTGCCATATAGCAGTAGAAATGGTTTATATTGAATGCAGTTGCTCTTGGGACTGGATGCAGCTCCATGCTTTTTGGGATTGGGAGTGTACTTTCCTTTAAATATGAAATGTACATTAGGGTGGAGAGAATGGAGGATACCATTGAGTTGTTTGTGCATGTTGTTAGAAAACCTTTGCAGTGCTGGAAAGGATGACAAAATTGCAGCTTCTGCAGCTGTTATTTCCTTCATCTTCTTGGTCTCTTCCTCTTGTTAAAGTATACAGAACATCTCAATATTTGGAATTTACTTGGTCTTCCAGACTCTTAAGTTCAGCGTAAAGCTTGCTATTAAGTTCTAGACCTTTGTTTTGGATACTACTACCTGCTTGTATGCCTCCCTCCGAGTGAAATACATGCAAAGCCTGGGATCATGTACTGGGTCATGAAAACTGCATTTGCATTCACTTTTTGTATTTGGCAGATGTTGCTATTTTCCAAGACATGAGAACTCTAGAAAACAAATGGATATTGTGTGTGCAGAGGGAAAGTGATATAGATGACTTAACTGTGGTACTGCAACAACAGAAGGTGTCTGGTGAGCTTGCCACTGGCTTGTGCCAGGAGGCAGACAGGGCTCTGCACTAACTGGAAGGACAGTGCCAATTAGGTTGTTCTTGGTACCCAGGCTAGCTACCCTCTGGGTAGCTATGGACATTTTCAACTAAAAGTATAGAACAAGTGGCCAAAAAGAGCAGGTTACCTGATACAAGCCTCTCATTAGGAGAAAATAAGTTGCTGCAAGACTGGCAACCATGAAAATGCAGCATGTTTCTTGCTATATTGCTAGTGCCTCAGCACCTGAGACCAAAATAATTTATAACTAACAGCTTAAAACTGCTAACTGTTCTGAAAGGAGGTAGCTGTGACTTCAGTATTTTAAGTGAGTTACAGTGTGTCTGAGCCCCTCTGGAAGAGAAGAGTGGGAACAGGGCAGCAGGGATGGATTTAGACTGTGAAGTCACTTCTGAATTTAAATAGAGACCAAGTTCCCTTCTGCAGCACACTCTGGTATCTACCACTGTATTGAAAGCTTGGCAAAAGCAGGCAGCAGACAAATGCCCAACTTCAGAGTCAGTCTCTCTTGTTCTTAACGCTGAGCTATTTTCTCCATCTGGAGAGTGCAAGCTGTTTTGCACACACTGTACCCTGGCAGTTGAATATCTTATTCCAGGAAAACTAGGTTCTCTGAGTTTTTTCAAATTAGCTTTAGTAAGTCCTACATGTTATCTCATCAGAAGACACAAGTGACAGAGGATGATTATTCTCCAATTTCAAATTAACATAGATTGTTACCTATATGACTTAAAACTAAATCTTAATGACTAAACTATTAAATTTGTCATCTCAAGTGAAATCAGCATTATGAAAAATAGTTTTGATACCTGCTTTACTGTGGATCTCAAAACAATCTGATCTGATACTAAAATTATTGTTGATGTAGTGTCTACGTATGCATGCTGGCTCATAGCTCACAACCGTTCCTGGTATTAGCAACTCAGATTTGAGAAGTTTTCCACATTTAAGAAAAAAGAAAATTGTTGCCACTGATGGTAGTGCTGTTAACTGACCTGCATTTTGTAAATTATCAGACTGAACACATGGGGGAGAAAGCAGAACAGTTCTTGAGCTTCCAGGGCTGTTTGAGAAGAGGTTTGCTTTTGAATGCTGAAATAAAGAACAAAGATAAAAATGTTAGATGTGATATGTAATGTCTGATGGGACTTTACAGTTGGGGCATAGATACATCTCTAGCAGTGTGCTGGTAACAGTAGCTTTGACCTTTTCTAAAATTCACAGAATACTTCATAGCATGATGAAAAGCAGGCAATCAGATTATTTTTTTATTTTTTTTAGCAGAAAGGAGGACAAATTGAGAATGGAATAAATAATGCTTGATCAAATGAGTGCACAAAAAAGAGCACTCTTACCCTGGTAAAGCAAGGAACTAATAATGTGTTAATGAGAAGTGAGACTCTTGACCAAGTGTTTGTAACTCTGTGACCTATGAAGGTGGGCAAGGACTGGAACTTCTGTAATCATGCTTGGTGAAGGTCTTGCCTAGCTTAATGCTGATGTTATGCACCCCGAAACAGCCTCTGCTGTTCCTAAGTACCTGCCTGTTCTAATCAGGGAAAGCAACATTGTGCTGGCTAAAGACAAATTACCATGGTTTCTCCTTGCAGTATTCTTTAAGTAATCCAAATCTGTTTGGTGAAGGGAATGAACCTTTTCTAGTTCTCTGGAACATAACAAAGCTGATGCACAGTTGCTAAAATGTTTTTTTGCTGCTGTAGGAATGCAGCGTGGTGACTTGACTAAGATGCATGAGGAAGGTGATACCTGCCTATTACTGCTTTTTAGCTTAAACTTCTTCTACAGGACTCCAATCTGTACAGGGGAGGAGGGAGAATGTATTCCTAGACTTTGACAGATTAATCTTTGCGAGGAAGCTTACTTCTAGGGAAAAATTACTGAACTTAATGTGCCTCTTCTTTAAGCCTTTACCAATATAGCTCTTTAGAACCCAAAGCACTGGCCTCTAGTGGTCCAGCATATCCAGTTATGCACTGTAAAACAAATATGTCTCAGTTGATTCATGAAGGTAGCCTGTGACTACAGTATTGACACTGCACAAACAGAAGTGTACATGTAAACAGCATTAAATCTAGATAGCTTTACTGAATACTTCTTCTTTTCCCCCCCTCAGGTTAGATGTATAATGAAGATCTTTGACCAAGTGGATGCACAAACTTGCTAGAGATGTCTGTTCCAAACCAACGACGTTCTATTATTATTAACCCTCCTCCACCAGAATACATAAATCACAGAAATGGTGGTTGTCAAACAAACCAACTTCAGTACTTAGAGAGGGTGGTCTTGAAAGCCCTGTGGAGACACAACTTTTCGTGGCCGTTTCTTCAGCCTGTAGATGCAGCAGCACTGAATCTTCCTGTAAGAACCATTTTGGAATTGGAGTAGTAATATGTAAAGTATTGCAGGACTTGGGAATTAATGGTAGTTTAAAAGAATTTTTCCTTATGGAACAGAACATTGAAGACTAATTCTGCATATAAACTCCTTTAATTAATTCAAGTCTGCAAGAAAACTGTTTTCTGGTTCATACTGAATACAGCATTTTTGTTCATCTACTTTCTGACCTGATACTATAGTAAATCAATATTTCTAAAGGATAATAAGAAAGCTTAGACAGGCCTCTTGGAGTTTCTGCATGTTAATGTTCTATCTTCTTTCCACCTCCCTGTTGGTTTAGCCATATTTCTTAACAATGCATATGATGAGTATTTTCTTTTGCCATTGAGGTTTCTTATTTGTAATAGGAGGCAGTCAGTATCTCTAAATGTCAGATACTTCATGACAGAAAAGAGGATCTGATTGACCTTAAAGTAAATAGACAAATCTGGATCCAGTTTGATGCATAGAAGTAATTACGTTTGTAGTACATCTTAATTTCAAATCAACTTTGGCATCTTGCTCTGAAGTTTCAAGAATAAAATATCCCTGCAAAAACAGGGAAGAACAAAAGAGGTATGGTGTTCTCATCGCACCACATGGGTAGAACAATCCTCTAGGAAACAAAAAATGTGATGCTTGCTTTGTTGTTCTGTATTGTCTTACGGGTTTATTTATAATTTAATTGCAACAAAGTGAATGAATATAATGTCTTGTAACAAATTGTCTTAATTCAGGTATCTTTAAACTCCAGTTTTGCATCACTTCAGCTTTTTCAGTCAAATGAAAACATAATTTATTCACACAGTGATATTTCAAATTATCTGGAAGATAATGCTCTTGGTAGATAAGTAGAAAGGTATTAACTAAAAACAAGGTACATTTCCTGTGATTCCTTCTATCCCCACCCTGGCCTACCCCCAGCTTTAGCTGTATTAAGCTGTCTCAAATTTCCAAGACTAATTTTGCAAAATCATTGGTTCTGCTTAGAACAGACAAAAACCTTTATCTGCAGCTTTTTCTTTTGATGAACTTATTTGGTCAGTTTGTTGAAAAGCAACAAAAATCAAAGTTACTGTCTTTCTGTGTCTCATCTTTCACCTTCTTGGAAGGAACTGTCACTTAAGGTTAATATTAAGGGTCAATCAAAGCTACAGCAACATTTGCAGCTGGCCTCAGGCCAGTTTTGCTTCTCTGGATTTCGAAGGCAGCCACTTGACTTCCAAAAGTATATGTTATCTCAACCACTGCACAATAACAAGCAAATGTCTGGCTCCCTTGCAAGGACAATGAAGGTATTTTCCTCCTTTGCCTCTCTCCTCCAGGTGTCAGAAGATGCAGAATGGACAATATTTAATTATTAGCTGTGTTATTTAAAAATTCTCTTGGGTTTGTTTTCTTAAATTCAATGGTCTGCATTACGATGTATTTAGCTGTTTTTATTTCACTAAAACTGATATTTAGGACAGCTTTAGAAGAAGTTGTAATGTCACACCATTACAATGTATATGTTAATTTAGTGGGATATTCTTGCTGTGATTTCTTAAATGCACCAGCAACCTCACACTCATCAACACAAGCTTTTAGCCACACTACCAAAATAATCACAGTAGTTCACATTCCAGCTGCCTTTCAGTCATATTACCACACCTTCACTAGACTAACCCTGAAGAGAGAGCCAATAAAACCCAAAGGATGAAGTGTTTGATCAGCAACTGTGAAAACTTGGCAGCTCCTTTTTATCAGTGACTGAGTCTTTGGCAAAGTCAGTCTTTGGCAAAGTCAGTCTTTGGCTGCATTTCCCCCTGCTCTGTAAACGGGAGTGCTACTTCAGCTAATGGCTTTGAGATAACAAATGAGAGGTATGTATACTTTTCATAAGGACTGCTACCAGTCTTGCTCTGGATCCAGTTAAAAAAAAAATTTCTTTGGGGCTTTGAATGGTGTATGTTACATAAAAGAGCAAAGAGAAAATATGAGGTGAAGAGAGTTCCTGAACACTTATTTCTGGGGTGCCTATGACCATAGGAGAAAATCTTTAAATAAAATATTCCATCCAACATAATGCAGTTCTTCCCTTTGCAATTTAACTTTTATCATTAAATGTGTAAGAATATTCATGTCCTAATATTAATGATCTGTTGTGTGACTCTTTCAAAACCACAGGATTACTACAGTATTATAAAGAAACCTATGGACTTGAGCACCATTAAAAAGCGTCTGGAACACAATTATTACACAAAAGCTGCAGAATGTACTGAAGACTTTAAAACTATGTTCTTTAACTGCTACATATATAACAAGGTATGCAAAATAAAACCTCTCACCATTAACTGATTCTATCAAACAATAAAAACGAGTCTAAAACAAGCAAATGGTTATTAAAGCATGCACAAAATCAGGCAAGTTCTTGATGACTTCTTGAAACTATTTTCTCTGAATGGGGGCTGGGGCTTTGTTGCTAGGGTTGACTCAGGGCTTGTAAGTCAAGTCTAGGCTGCTGTTACAGCAGAGTGCACAGTCCTTTCTGCACAGGAATTCCACCTGCAAAATCTCTGGGGTTCAGATGCAGAGCTTATGAACAATGAGCACTGTGTAACTACTATGCAAGTTTAAGGCTAGCAACTCTGAGCCATGCTACACTCCTCCAACAAGTTTAGCATAACTGAAGTGTGAGCATCTCCCTGCACTTGGACATCTTTAAGCTACAACACCTTTCTTCAGAACATAGTAATGAACAAGGGAGTTGGGGATCTGCCCCCTTTTGCCTTTGCTGTGGGAAGTATTTGGATATAAAGCAAATAGGGCTGTGCAACAGAACAGTGGGAGGAGTATTCTTTCAATAATAAAAGCCAAATGTATTGCAGTGAGTTGGGGGGACACACAAAGATAGCAAGGACTAGTAGACTACTCTGGAATTGGTGGTATGTGTTGATCTGTTTGAGAAGGATTCTATAGACTGTTTATTTCACAAGGCAGCCCTCCATTCCCACAGCCTCTCCTTTACTCTGAATGTTACTATATTTTGCAGCCTGGTGATGACATTGTATTTATGGCCCAAGAACTAGAAAAAGTGTTTATGCAGAAAATAGCCCAAATGCCACCAGAAGAAAAAATACTGATTCCCAACAAAGGAAAGAGAAAGCGAAATAAGCTAGAAGGTAAGACCTGTATTCTATATTGATTCGTTAACATATTAAATAAGCAAAACCTGGAAACAGAGAGTGTTCTGTAGCATGTCACAATGCAACCCTGGAGCAGTTGAGGTGCTCTCCACTCTCTTCAGAACATATTGGACAAGTAACAACACTGCTATAAGGCTTTAGCAGATGCAGTGCAGCCATATTTTTTATACATTAATTTTTTATTTTCTATTAATGAAGTGTTGTTAAGATGGGATAAACATCAGAATTAATAATTCCATCAGTAGTGTAACAGCATAGCTCCACAGGAAAACTTCTGGCGAAATGCAGTGGTCTTGCCCACAAAAAGGATTATGTAGTCAAGATTTCCCAAACTTTTGAGGAAATCACATAGTAAGTGCTTGAAGTGACATTGGGGAGCCTAATTGCAAGGGGTCAGGTGATTGGATGCAATTTATTATTCATAACTGACTTCTTATGGCTTTTATTTGATCTCAGAGCCTGTTTCTCTTGTGCAAAGGGCTCATTTCTACATCTAAGCTCTTGACATTGCCAAAGAATAAATATTTATCTTGATAGAAGTAAGACTATGCAGTGCCTGGAATCACATGTGCATCTCAACAGATTCATTTGGAGGTCTCCAAAGTAGTCTCCCAAATTGGCTTTGAGGTACTGCTGTCAGATGTTGGGGAAATACTAGCTATGTCTTGAAAGAGCTGTAAAGCTTCTTCACCCTTGCCTTCTCACAGCCATGGAGCAGTGATCTTAACTAGCTCAGTTCTTACTGTGTCACTTAACAGATGCTTTTATTAATTGGCTAACCAACTACACAGCTCTTCAGGGTCTCCTGATGACTTCAAATGTTTCTGCAAAATAGTATTACATTTTGCTAGATCTCTGTACTTTCCTCTTCAAGTTATATTTGAGGAGCCAAACTCTCTTACCGTGGTCTGATAGATGGATATGCAAAAGCAGTGGATTTTTTTGGTTGTTTCATGAGAATATTGAGAGTCTAGGGGGAAAAAGAGAACTCCTGACTTCCTGCTCTTACTAGCTAATTTGAGTAAAATCTCAAGCAATTCATTGCCTTGGCAGAATATTGGTTGAACTAGTAGAAGTGACTGTAGTAAAAGATTTCCCTCTGAGGTTAATCCACAGCTTGCTTGAAGCCAAATGTGCATAACTTAGTACTATGTTCTAGCTGAGGTAGTAATGGTCATGAGTAGAGGAGGATACCAACATTGCTATATGTAACAATTTGTATTTATTTGTATAGCTTGAGTGTGGAAGAGTGGTTCCATTAACAACTGTTCCATTTGAACATGAAATAAATTAATTGGAATATTTAAGACCTAACTTTTAAGATTTCCTGTTTTAAACTAACCAGAAACACAGCAGCCAAATTCTGGGACTTCAAATGAACAAACCACAACTCAGAAACAAGCTGAAAGCAGTGAGCAGCCTTCAGTGATGACTCAAGAGCGACATCATGTTAAACTACCTCCTTTGGCTGCTGCTCAGCTGACTACTTTAATGCCAACTGCAGTCCCTAAAACAGAAGTAAGTTTCCTCAAACCACTTTCAGAAAGAAAGTTATTGAAATTGCTGCTTCAGGCACTAACAGTAAAAACACAGGAGCCACACTTACTGCAATACCTGTTAAGGGAGAAGCCACTCCAGTAGGCACACACTGTCCTAGGAGTCCCAGACACCACCAAACCTTTACTGCTAGGATCAAAGTCTCCTTGCAGTGGGTGAGTTGATGAGTGCTCTTTTCATACACGCTGTCTCACTCTCAAGTGATTTCCTTTTCCTTAGGTTTGGCCTTAGGTTTCCCATAGAGGACTCTGATATCAACTCTTACATAAAAAAAATAATTCTTCAGACAGTACAGCAGAAAAGTACAGCTAGAGCTGGGTGCCCCCAGGGAGGGACCTTGAATGAAGAAATCCCAGGGCAATCATCCTTTCAATCTATGCACTTGCCCCTCATGTGTTCTTCACATGCCTCTTGATCCAGTTTCTGGGCTGGGATCTTTTAATACCTTATTGGATTATTTCTCTGTCTCAAGACAGGCCATTAACTGTCTTTATCTTGCCAAGTTGCAGCTTCTGTTGGCAGTTATAGCCTCTTCTGGTTTGCAATTCTTGTGCATATGCTTGCTGGCAGAGCATGGATTTAGGATAAGCACTACTTAGCAACAACTAAAACATCAGTGAGTATCAGCCTTACTCTCATACTAAATTCAAAACACAGCACTGTACCAGCTACTAGGAAGAAAATAAACTCTCTTGCAGCCAAAAGTATACCTCAGTGAAAGTTTACAGGTTTCAGCAAATCTAGCTACTGATGCTAACAAACAGTATCCCTAACAGCACAACATTATGCTGTGAGCCCTGCCTCCTAATGCTGAATGACTTGGAGTGAAGAATTCCATTTAAAACTTATTAATTTAAGCTAAATGCCTAGTATTTCGTAACAACATAGTTTCAAAACATCTTTTATGATGGAAGATAAGAGCTCTCTATTAAACCTTCTAGGTCTCTGCTGAATAACTGGGTCAATATGCATTCTAGAAACTAAGCAGAAACTGGGATGGCTGCTTGGTGCATCTTTTCTTATTTGTGTGGTTTTAAAAAGTTTTTCTCAAAGAAACAAAGTGACCTTTAAGATGTTCACTTTTGAAGTGTGCTACTATACTTCTGTGCTTCACTTTGAAATAGAAACTATTCTCTCCTTGAGGTGTAGGTAACTGGTTTAGTATTAAAATAAAGCTATTTCTAACTTCTAGTTAATGATTCTGCATGTTTTCAATGTAAATCAGATGCTTGATTCCCCAAAAATAGCATGTTTGCTTAAACACTGTGTAACTAGATTGGAAGGAGTTTATAGCTTGCAAAAGCAAATTCTTGTTAACTACAATCTGAATTGTATGTGAATGTCTGAAGTTTTCATCAGATAAACACTCCTGTATTGAGTTGGATTTGGTTTTTCTCTTCCAATGAGGAACAGGCTCGTGTGCTAGGCTCTTCTACTGTGTAGAAGACACAGTACACTTTACTGAAGACATTGTATCAATTCCAAACCAAGTATCACCCAGGTTGAAGAGAGAGGTAAACCTTGTCCACAAAGCCCTCAATCAGGCTTAAAGAATAATCTTAGTAAATTTTGCCCTTTCCATGGCAGTCGTCTTGTGGTAACTTCACAAAGTACCAGTTTCTTAGAATCTTCTTGAATGGCTAAAAACTGACCACAACCTGACCTGCAGCACTTTCCTGCAGTTCTTTCCTTTACATCTAAGATTGAGCTTGGTGTGCTGATTTGGCAGTGCCTTGTAGGTTTTCAGCCTGAACTTGTGCAAGTACCACATTCTATTCTAACTCCAATTGCTATAGTTATTTAGGGTTTTTTTATGTAGTCTGAAAGCTGGACATTCACTGTTCTAGACATCTGTATTTTATACTGTAAAATTTTATTTTTCTAGGCAAAAAAAGGTGTGAAAAGGAAGGCTGACACTACCACTCCTGCTACTTCAATATTCACAGCCAAGGGTAAATTTTCTGTAACATTTAATGAAAGAAAAACTGTAATGCATGCAGAGGTGAAAATGAATGTATGATACCAAATAATCTTCCAACAGATTCTCAGCAGTCACCTCAAATTCTTAAAAAGACTCAGTTGTCAAAACAACTAAAACATTGTAAGGAAATACTTAAAGAAATGTTTTCAAAGAAACATGCAGCATATGCATGGCCTTTCTTAAAACCTGTTGCATCTTTCTCACTTCATGAGAACCAAGGGATCACCAAACATCCTACAGACCTGGGAACCATTAAAGTAAGTATGTTTAAGAATGAACTGGGCTACTTGTGTTGTTGCCTGAATAACTTGTATAATGACTGGATTTTAACAGAGTTAGCTGACAAGGTGTCATGAAAGCTACTTCTCCTTTGAAAGAAATAATGGGCATAGAAACCACATCCACTTCTCTTGCAACAAACTATGCCAGAGGTCACTGAAGAAAATCTTCTAAATCTCATTGTGACTGTGAGCATAGTGGCTTATTTACCTATTTGTTGAAACAGCTAATATAAGTAGTGAGGGAATTACCATCTCCATGAAGCACTTCCAAGCAGGCTGCATGTTAAATATCTTTTAGTCTTTATATGCAGTGCTGTCACTAATTCACTAAAACAAAATGCAAGTCTGTAATGTTAACTTCTGCTTCTCTCTGAATCTCCTTGATCAAGTGTCCTGGAACCTTAGCATTGGGTATTTATTTATGTGACACCTATCACATTTTCTGTAAAAAGGAACTCTTTTAGATGGAGGTATGTGGTCAGTGCTTTGTGAAGACTGCATGCATGTCTGAGATTGAAGTGTTTAGCCAAGCTAAGATCCACCTTTGTGGAGAGGGTTGAATTTCAGCAGTCTACTGAACTACCTTGAAAACTGGCTTCTGCAATGTGAAAGTTATTTCCCAATTTCTAGCCCATTATTTTGACTCAATCAATTATGAAATAGGCTTTGTATAGATACTATGCTTAGAATTAAAAACAATTACTGAGTATATAACCATATAAAATCACCTGAACACTGTTGCCTTGACCTAGTGCTGAAACTAGTTTTATGAAGTCCTTACATCATTTATAGTTAGCAAATCCATTTAAATGAGGAAATTGTCTTCCTTGGTTAAAGGAACAATGTAGAAAAGAGAAACAGGTCTTGCCATAAGAGTTCTTACAGTATTTAGTGTCTTGATAGATTAACCTGACACTGGATGTCAAAATTATTGTCGCTCTTTTTCTGACAGTTCATACTGTTGATTTCCTCCTTTACGATCTAAATGTGTACTAATTTTCTTTTCCTCTAGAAAAAAATGGATAATTTTGAATATAGAGATACACAAGAATTTGCTATGGATGTTAGATTAATGTTCATGAGATGCTACAAACATTATCCTCCAGACCATGAAATGGTTGCTATGGCAAGAAAATTTCAGGTGAGTTATCACTTAAGTCAGACTTGAAAAAGAGGAGAACTAAGACTTCTTTGTGGTCATCTCACACCCTGATGCAGCATCTACAATTACTATGTTGCTGTGTAGTTCTAGAAAACAAGCAGTAACTTCATAATGCTTTTAGAAATCTGAAAAACATGTTGACCTCTCTGATGTTTCCAAACTTAAATCTTTAGGATGTTTTTGAGATGCAATTTGCAAAAATTCCTGATAAACCTGTTGCAAGTGTTCCTCTGCAACAGCCAACAAAAGAAGTTACAGAATCTTATTCCAGTGAGAGCAGTACTGATGACTCCTCTGAAGAAAGATCATCTGAAGACACTGAACAGGAGAGAGCAATGCACATTGTCAAGCTTCAGGAGCATGTAAGCATTAGTACTCTGTGTGTACAGATGTCATGTGTGTACATGACTTAGATCAGTTTATTGTTCATCCTACACTGCCTATGACTATTGTGGGATTTTTTTTTCTTTTTGATAGCTTAAAGCTATTCACCAGCACTTGCAGGCTTTAACCAGAGGATGCTTACCTAGACTGAAAAAGAAAAAAGAGAAGACTAAAAGGGAGAAAAGTAAGAACAAGGAAAAATCCAAAATAAAAAGCCTGATTCAAAAGAAGAAAAACCTAAAACACCAGAGGAAGTCTAAGAAAAAGCTGTCTTTAAACATGTAAGTGTGGGAAACTAGTGTGGGTGTCAAATTACTTTAAACTGCTAGTACTGAGATACACTTTTTCCCTTGCAGTCAATCAAAGAAAACCATGCAGCAGGTCTTGTTGGCATGTAAGTCAGAAGATGAAGATGGTGCCAAGTCTATGAATTATGATGAAAAAAGACAGCTGAGTTTGGACATAAATAAACTCCCTGGAGATAAGCTTCAGAAAGTTGTCCATATAATACAGTCAAGAGAACCTTCACTGAGGAACTCTAACCCTAATGAGATAGAAATAGATTTTGAAACTTTAAAGGCTTCAACACTCAGACAACTACAGAAATATGTGGCAATCTGTTTGAGGAAGAGACCAAGCAAGCAGCAGGGTATGTAACATAAATGATGCTTTAAAAAAACAAACAAAACATCCCTAGATTTGGATTTGGTTTTGTGGCAATGTTAACTTCTGATTCACATGCAGATAAAACACCAACAAAGTCAAAAGAAGAAGTTATTTCTGAGAGGAAACAAGAGCTCCAGAAGAGACTACTGGATGTCAATGGTCAACAGAACCCTAAGAAGAATCTCAAGTGTAATGTGACTCTTTTATTCATTTGCAACAGGAATAGTTTAAAATGAGATTATCCCTTTGGGTTTTTGTACTGTTGTGTGGCTGCAGACTTCCTCCTCAGAATAGTTGAGGTCTTAGGCTTCCCACTACTAGCCTTAGAATTCTTTCTACAGTGAATGAACTGGGTCACAGCAGCAAATATGGTCAGCTATTTGTCCTCTCTAAAACATCTTCCTTATTCTTGCAAGTAATCCTTTATTACCGATAAAGATTATGACAGCCTGAGAGCTTAAGGGACACCTTATGCTCCTTATGCTCCCTTATGCTGACAGATGAAAACAAGGTGGGGGAAGGAGTGTCCCACAGTCTGTGTATTTGTTTGCAAATCACTTTCTGTGACATAGACATTCAAGACACACTCTAGTCATACTTCTTAAATTGCAGCCTCATTAATGTTGTCATGCTAGCAAAACTTCTGCATCAGTAGCAGGTGTGCTGTGTTACCTTAGTCCTAAGGAAGTGCCTGAGGAGAATCAATTCAGTTTTTCAGGCAGTCATACATTTGATTATCAAAGCCAGAAATTCAGTATGTACTTGAGCATATCTACACCTGCTGGCTGTTCTTGTCAGGTACTGAAAATGGATCAATGCAGCTGATGTAACTATCATAGGTCAAATTGTTCCTCTTTAAACTAGTGAGTGCTACTATTGCCCTCTATTGGATATCTATTAAGCTGCTGTGTGAAACCAGACAGCTGAAATGACAGAAGCAGCCCTGCAAGAGACAAGCTTGCATCCAGCACCAGCTCAGGCAACAGTTTTCCTCTCTGGTAAACATGATAGCCTGAAAACATCATAGAAAGAAAAGCTTGGAGAAGCAGCTGAAATAAATTATGAAGAATGTGTTGCAGGGAGAGTAAGGAGGCAGGCCAGGGAACCTTTACAACTGGCACCTGGTTTGTTTACAAGAGCTAAGTTGGCACTTAACAGAGTTGTAATCAGGAAAACATGTATTCATGTAGCTTCCATTTGCAAAGCTTCCACTAGAGCAACACAATTTGAAAAAGCTTTTTGACTGCAAAATCTCTATACTTTGAGTTAAATGAACCCTACAGATGCAAAGTAGTCAGATGGTAGGGAGATGGCAAAAGATGACAATTTGCAGTCCATGTGGCTTAGAAAAGAGTTGGCTATAGATAAAGACCTCAGCAACAAGCATAGAAACAGGCTCTTAACAGCAGAAAAACTTGAGGAAAACTACTTAAATTGTGTCTTAAGATAGCACATTTTTAATGTATGATTACAGCTTCTCCTTAGCTATTTCATTCATTCAACTAACTTGCTGCTGGTAAATCTTCCTCTAGAATGATCTCAAATCCACTGCTAAGTGGACAGTGGATGAGGAAATAACAAAACATGCATTGTTATATGGAAGAATAGACCTAACAAGGTTGATTTAGTCTGCACTGCAAGTTGGTCTAAATTATTTCTTTTTTTCTTGCAGTTGAAAACAGTGTGAAGTCCACTACTAGACCAAGCAGACTGAGTGACAGCAGCAGCAGCTCCTCCAACTCTAGCAGCAGTTCTAGCAGTGGTTCTAGCTCCTCAGATAGCAGTGACTCTGAATCAGGTTGGAAAGCTTCCTTTTGTATTTCTGTAGGCAAAATATTTGGTTTCTCAGCATCTACTGTTCCATATGCTTACAAAGAATTCAGTTACCCTTGTAGACTTGCTCCATGTTGAAAGCTCAATTAGAGTGTTACTAAATAAGTGTCTTAATATTGAGGCTTTATAAACATTAAGAATTTTTTTTTTAATTTACAACATCCCCTTACCTTGTGAGTTAAAAACTACAGAGACCAAAATCTGCTAGCAAGAGGTCTGTGTATCTAACCTGGAGACTATTAGGCTATAGCTCACTTTTGTGATTTTTGATTCCTTTTTTGTAAGTCTGATTTAGGCTACTTTTATCTTCTAGTCTGCAGCATGGAAGGCACCTTACCTTGCAGGGTATGGCTTAGCCCCTAAGCTGAGGGACGGAAGTGTTAACAGGATTGACTGTAGAGCCCAAGTCTATCCTGGTGCCTAAGTAGTCTCAAGCTTGTTCCGGGGACATTACAGTGCTGCAGTACCAGGATACTGACATTGTTTCTCTGTACACAGAACTCTCTTTAATTTTTTAGGACAGAACAGATCTGCCAAATTGGAGGTTTGCAATGTAGATATCTGTATGAGGTAACAGTGTAAGATGAGAGATGAATGCTCAACTCTGCAGTGTGAGGATACAAACATGAAGTAATTGATGGCGGCAAAGACCTAGGCCCTGCAGGCATCTTGGTGGCTTATTTTGTATTTAGGAGAAATTTTCTAAATACAAAGCTGAAGTCAAAGTATTTAGGATAGGAGTGTTCCTTTTGCAGTGAGGTTTAGCTCTCTAGGTGCAACAGCAACTCACATCTCATGTGTGAGTAATGAAACATGGGAATGACTGATCTCAGGGTTTTTTCCACCCCCTTCTTTCTACCCACCTTGTTGTATTTACAGTGACAGAAACCTGTTCAAAACAGACTGGAAAAAGGCAGAACTGTCCAACTTCTATGGAAAAGCCTAAGGTAAACTGTCTTGAATGGATATAACACTTTTTCTCTAAAGTTATGTTGTGTTCAATGGTACTGACAATGATGTCACTTTCTCAGGGAACAACGAATATGGCTTGAATGCTACTTGTTCTGTAGGACTAGTTTACATGGAGACAAAATCTTATGTTTGTTAAAAGTAGCTTATGTATCTGTATAGAAACTGATGCACTAGGAGAAGTCTTGATGCTTTTACCTCTTACAAGAATTGTGGTGTTTCTGTGCTGGGTGAAGAAGGGAAGAGAGGGGAAGAACACTCCATACCCTACCCTTCTATCCCACCTGCCCCACAAAAAGGAAAATCTTCTCTATGTTGATCTTTGAGTATAGGATTGACCTAATGAACAGTGCAAACTCTGCTTCAATATTTTTCTTTATCTCAATAACCTCACTTCTACTCTGGAAAACAAATAAATTGTACAAGTTACTAGTAATTTTCAGGATACTTTATATTAGTTATTACTATAGTGGTATTATAAGGAACAACAGTTTTTATCTATACATAATGTTTAATACCTCTGATTGAATTGCTCTACTCCAGTATATACAGTGGGTGTTGATTCTTCTCAATGTTTAGCTGCCTTTCACAGTTTACCCTGAAGTTACCAGAGATACAGCCCTTGGATTTCAAAGCAAGATCACATCAAAGCCTTAATTCTTCTTACAATAGACTTGCTTTCTCTTAAAGTGCTTAGTTGGATACAGGAAACTAGGCTGAATATTATTCAGCTCCTCCTTCTGCAACTTCATAAGGAAAGACAAAGGGGAGGAATTATGCAACGCCTTCTTTTTTTTGTTTAAAAAGTGCAGCCTCTGCAGTGATAGAATGACAGCAATAAACCTATGAAAACAGGATACAGGAATTAAGCTTCAGCTTGGTCAGGTATAACAGCACCTGACTTTTTGAGTAACAACAAACATGACACTTCAAATGCTTGCATTGTGTTTTGTTCTTGTGGGTTTTCTGTATCTGTCAGATGAAGGCAGTGCAGTTCACCACCTGGGTTTTTTGTCATCTAAACTCTTAGAAAATACTAGATTAGTATCACAATACAAGAACTATTGAATCCTGTAAACAGTGGAACTGAGGAAGTGGTAAGGAAAAGGGGGTCAAATAGCTATGAAAATTAAGATTTGGCTATACTGCAATTTCTTTTAAAGAATACCATTGCATTTACAGAGGACATCTTGCAATGCTGTTCTGCAAGCACAGCCCTCATCTCTAACTAGTAACTTGCAGAACTGTGGATTGTTTAAACTGCATCAGCCACCTCCCAACGTACTGCAGAGACTTCAGCCTGTACAGAATAGATCACTTAAGCCATCAGAACAAAAATCCCAGTCTCCTTCAGGTAACACCTTTATGGCAAGAAGCATGGCCGTATTTGCTGAGGGAAGAAGGGATGGCTGAACTAATGTTTGTTCTGCCCAATAAGCTTATATTGGGGTTTTGGAGGTTATCAAGTGGGTCAAAGAAAAATATTTAAAAAAAACCACAAACATTATTAAGAGCATGATGTAAATACAAGTGTGGCAGCACTGAGGATGGGCTAGGGTTTCAGATTACTGGGGCACTTGTGGTGGGGCAGAATAGTATTAAAACAGGAGGTGTCCCTTTGAGATGGAAAATGACACCTTGATGAACCAGGGTTACAGGAAGTGCTGAACAGGAATTTGATGCTTAAACCTATCACCACTACACAAGTATATGTCTGAAAAACCTACTAGCTGGATTTAAGGCTTGGTGCTGCAGGCCCTCTGAATTGATTGCTGTTGTCTAGACATCATATATTAAGTTGTTTAGAAACTTGATCCAAGGTGGTACTCATTTCCTTCCTTAACTTCAAAAGGTCTAATCACTTCAGACGCTTCTGAGTTTTTGGTAAAAGACAGCTTGAACCAGCTGCTGATTAACTGAGGAATCAATTAAAAACTAATTTAAAATACTTTTGTCAAATCTTGCAGCTAGGATACATATCTTCTCATATCCAGTTAATCCAGAGTTTGAAACTGTGACACTACTTTTTTCTCAGGTGTGATCTCGGCTGTGTCTGCTCTGCATGATTCTCCAGACCAACAAATGCCTCCAGGTAGTCCAAGGACAGATCGGTCTTCTGTCACCCAGTGCACAAATGCCCTTCCAGAGGTGAATACATGCTTCTTTCCAATGCATTATTTTCAAATAACTTATTTAAAGCATGTTCTTATTCCTTTAAGTAAGTACTAATACCATATCCCAGGCTTCAATTTGATGCAAAGAAGGCCATTGGAGGTTTACAACAACAAGCTATTGAGAACTCCACTAACTAAAGTTACTTGTATCCTTTAATAGGTCATTAATTCATTGCTTGTTTACTGGAACACAAAAGAAAAATTTGGCTAAACAATATATCCAGTTTATAATGTACTACAAAGCTTATTTCAGTGCTATAGCTTAAAGTTAAGTAAACTTTGCACACATTCAGATTAAAAGCCCACCCTGTAAACCTACAGTTTTACAAAAGAGATGGGTAGCTTAAGTGAAGTTCCTGTTTTCTAGAAATACCAATAGTTACCCATTCAGTAACACTCTGAAGACTCGAGCTTTTCCTGGAAAAGTGTGATTTTTCTTTCTGTTTCTAGAGCCATGGAAACTGGGGCTTTCAGGGACATAGATAAGGTTGTGAAACATGTATAGTCACTGTTGATTTCTGTCTTAATATTTTCTTGGAGAGTATCCTGGTCAAAAGGGCCTCAGTGTTGCAAACGAAGTTATTGATGTTACAGTAGCAGCATGATCTCTTCTATCTTAAGACGTTTAACTTTCTCAACATGGTTTCAAACACAGCTGCTTTAGCACAAGAATGTGTCCTGCAAGAAAGGAAGAAAAGCAACTTGCCTTTTCCCATTTGCATCCACTAGCCAAAGGCAGCAAGTAGTATGTATTATGAGTCTTGGGTTTGTGCAACACCTTCCCCAGTCCAAGGGGATTACCACCCAATCTTATGAAGAGAAAAACTACCACTGAAGTAATACAGCTGCCCTTCACTCTGATCCATAAGCCAGAGCAGAGGAACTGGCTTTACAGCAGTAAAAGGCAACTTCTATTTTGTTGTATCGTGTTAAGGGTTACAGAGCTTGTAACAAGTTCTCGTATTTTACCAGCTCCATCACTCAAGACATCTGAGCAGTTACTGTTTTAAATCCAGAATGTTAATGTAAAAACTTGCTTTGATTACCACAATATGAATGAGATCTAATTCTTCTCTGGTGTTTAAAGAAGTGAGAGCTGCATAAAATTATTGCTCTAAGCTTCTAGAATGTTTAATCCTGCTGCTGTATAATAAGGATCTGCACATTCAGAAATTCAGAACATATTGTGAAGTTTAACTTCTCTTCTAGGTATCCAACACAACTTCCCAGGTTGACAGTGCTGACTGCAGTAAACAAGATGAGCAAACACTACAGCTAGATGAGTCAAATATACTTCCAAACAAGGACAGTGAGAAAACTGAGTCAATATCCATAAGTCAAGATCAAAGTATGTATTGTCATAATAAAAACTGTTACTGATATGAGTGCACAGTTAAAAATGTACATGAACCTGGTTTAAAGAAATAAAATGCTGAGTATTTGTACATGAACCAGTACACAGAATAATGGAGGAGGTGCAGTTTTCCTTTGTTCTTTTTCTTTGTGATTTACAGGTTTTTTTGAAAGAAAAAAAATAAGTGAAATGGATGCTTGGTTCTTTTTCTGTTATAAAACAAATTACTTTTCCGGTTTAAGAACTTAGCTTTCTGACTGTAGTACAAGGCATAAGTAACTCAGCCTTCCAGCAAATCTGAGGGAAATGATGCTCTGATCTGATATACTTTCCTGGCCCTTAAGATGTCTTCTGCTGAAGCTTCATGGAGTTATCTTCACAGGCCACTTTGTGTGTATTTTGAGTTACCATCTCTAGCTCTTGATGATGAGTATCTGACAGTAAAACGTCAGACTGGCTTTTACTATGGAACCAATTAGTTATTACAGGAACACAGGTTCCTTGGAACCTGTGATCCATATAAAAATGCATCAGACCTGCTACATATTTCAAACTAAAGAATTCTAAGCTGGACTGAACATCCCTGCTGACAGCCTGGTGTTACCAGATATGATCACTTAGGTTCCTGCTTTACTCTTTACTCTCTAGACTACATGTATAGGCTTGAACAGGGCAGGGAACAAGCTTCTCAAAACTTACTGAAATTAAAAGGTGCAGCCTCCTCAATGATTAATTATTCTGTCATTGCCACAAAATAGTGTTGGATATGTGAGTTGTATTAAAGCAACTCTAAAAGAGATTAATTCCCAAAAATTCAGTATTTTTTTTAATGGCCTTAATACACCTATCCATACACATACTTGACCCCCTGTGTTTAGACTTCTAGCAGCTGGAGCTGGTACATCAGTTTCATTGATTCAGCTTATGATCTTCACTTACATTTTTGGAGGCTGCCTGAAACTTGATTTTCTGACCTATACACTGCATGACTAACTATTAAGATTCTGGTGTTATCCTAATATGTTTAAAGAATGGGAAAACAAGCAGGAATAAATCAAGCTCACTGTTGTTATAATTGTAGGAAAAAAGCATAGCCAAAGTTTGCTACTTTTAATTGCTAAGGTTAATTTATTTTGGATTGTTTCTATCTTCCCTTTTCCAAGGGACAGTTGTAGAGGAGCTCCCATATTTAATCTGGAAACCATTCAGTAATAAGATCTGTCTTTGAGTAGACCTGAATTCCAGCATTATGCTGCATAGCAGAATTTTTTACATTGTTATGCATCTGTAGTTTTGTCTCTTTCTATAATATGGTGGTGTTTGACTGTTCCTGCAATGATAGGAGCCCCAGCTGCGCTCAGTGCTGCCTTAGCCTTTCCACTGTTAACTCCTGTTGAAAACTGGAAGGGGTACGGGGGAAAATACAAGATTTTGGCTTTCACTTTTTTTTAAAAAGCGCAAAAACTTTGCTAACCTGGAACAGCTTCAGGACATGTGATCTATCGATGGGAAGCACAGAGTGCTCTTTATGCATCTACTTAGAGCAAACCAGGGAAATGTATTTTAGAATTGGATGCTTAGAGCAACTTGTTGAATTCTGTAGAGAATCCCTCTGTCTCGGGCATTTCTGTCAGGTTACCTGTATCTCTGAAACAAGAGTTTGTCATTTTAGCCTTGTGACACCTCTGCTGCTATGGGTGCAGGCTAAGTGTACTACTGAATTCAGTGGTGGCTTGATCAGAAGTTTAGCTTATGAAATTCAAACCTGTAAGCTTCCCTCCACATTAAGAAGCAGCACTCTGTGAAGGCTGGTAGCTCTAAAATGTCTGCTTTCAAGAACATGGCTGGAAATACTTTTGGCACAGCCCAATATTCATATGTTATATCTAGAGCTTTAAGACAGATATAACTATAAATTTTAATTCACTTTCAGGTAGATCTTCTTAGTATCTTCTGGTATAACAGATGGACCAATTTGATCTTAGCAATGGGGTTAGACACTTTCCTATCCTTTGTGTAAAAAAACCAACAACTTTCTTGTTAAATGTTTACTTACAAATAAATACTGAAACATCTCAAACTGCAGCAGAGGATCATTGCTGAGTGACCTAACATACCTATGTTGTTTATATCTGTTGCTAAAATCGTGGGTTTTTTTAGAGTACACTCAGATTTTCATCCCAGAAGCTCTTTAGAAAGGGAATATAACAAAGTAATACATCAGATTTTTTAAAACCCTGCTTTACAATGGCTTTTGTTAACTGTTCCTAGTATTAAACAAGTCTATTTTCAGGCTTACTGTAAGGACTGTAGGAAATTGCATCTGTTCCTGAACTTAAGTTTTTTTAAGTCTTAAAATATTCAGGGAAAGTGTTTTTCACACAAAATAATATGGATCTTCTACAGTAACACAGAATATAAAAACTGCTAATCTGAAGTTGGCATTGTCAAAATAGCACTTCTACTTTGCCTGTGAAAATGTTGAGGTATTTTTCCCCTCACAAGTAACAAAGAGCTAACAGCATGAAGTATTTGTACATCCCAGAGGCTACTGGAAATGTGATGTCTGGCCCTTCCTGGCTGACCTATTTGCCTTTTTTTTTTTTTTTACGAAGTAAACAGACTGGAGAGCTTTTAAGCCAAATGAATTTACATGATGAATGAGGTACTTCTAAACAATGCTGGAATCAAAATGGAAGAGGGCTGGATGGGGAGAGGACAGGTGGTGAGCAACTAGCAAGGTGCTGTGTTGAGACCTTCTGACCAAAATTTCTGGGCATCGTGCTTGGACCTCTCCTGGAATTAACAAAACATTAATCTCATCTGTATTTGAGCTTAACCATTCCTTTATCTGTCCCAAACTGGAGGAAGTGTTCCAGTTAAGCCTGGGAAATGTTTGGGAGTATTTCTGTCATTTTAAACCAAATAATAATGAGAAAAAAAATTCTAGTGTAAATTCTTAAGTGAATTCCTAGGATGACTGGATTATTATCACTTAAATTTGAGGAAACATAGGTTATAAAATGAACAAGACTGAAAAATATGTTTTGTTCTTCCAGCAGGTCATTGTACACCTAGTGACGAACCTAATGGCAAAAACACAGTGGAATCAAAATCCAAAATTCTACAAAGAAATGTAAGTGCTACTCAAGTTCTATCTGAGGAGAAGAGCTTGAATATAATTAGTAGGATCAATAATTCCTTGTCCTGGGATCTTTTCTGGAGATCTAGTATTTTATAATTCAAATAACTTACATCTCATAAGTCTTTGGTATTGTTATAGACTATATTGATTTGTCTCATTTCTAGCACAAAAAAAACCAATCAAACAAAATCTATAGGCTCTGATAATTTCAGAAGGTAAAAATAACATATCAAAATGGTAATTAAAATTATAGTTTATTTCATCTAGATTTAAATATTAAACTATTAGTGTTCCTTGATCTATTTCTAATATTCAAGCTATTAATGTGCTTTTCCTTGCTGGTCCAGTAACATAAGTAACAGTAGTGTGAAATATGGCTATGGGTACTGTTGAAAAAGCTTTTCTGAAACAGGATGAAACACTTCTAATGACATTAATACAATCGAAAGATAATCTGAAAGTTTTCATGAAATCTAAGCAAAATATTTCCTAGCATATAATCAGTTATCTTAAATGGAGGAACAGAGGAATTTTCTTTGTTATTTAAAATCTCCCATGGTAATCAATTATTTGAAAGAAATTAAAATTACTAGTCTAAATAATTGTGTTAGCCTCTGGGCCTAAAAGGTTTATATGTAGCCTGTTGCATTAAAATATTCCTACAGTTCTTCTTTAGGCACTGAAAACTAGACAATAAATTATTGTTTCAATTACAAAAGTAAGTATTTGTTTCATAATATGTGACCTACTAGAAGCAGTATTTCTTCAGCATACAGATTTTATAGTGTTTTACACTGTGAAGAAAGGCTACTAGAGGTTGGAAGGAAGAAAACATGGGTATTTAAAGCAAACAAAACCCACAAGCCATATAGAAAACTATTGTTACAAAAGGATTACGTAGAGAAATGAGATGGTTGTTTGCCATATTACTATATTGTCAATGGACCTTGTATAAGCTGAGTCTTGTGAATTCACATTTTCTGGAATTAAAAAATGGAGATGTGGATGTAAAGGATTGAGTAAGAATAGCTACAAATGCTAATGATTTTAGCACATTGCTAAAGAATGTCAAAGTTGATGTGAAAGCATATTGAAGTTTGCTTAGATTGCTGTATTTGTATTAATATTATCCAAAAGTAAGGATATTTTGTTGCAGATCTTCCCAAACAGGTACAGTCAAAACAATTGTGCTAATGTAAGAACTAAGCAGATAATAGTTGTATTTTTGCCTCTGCCATGTTTTTCTTATAACTTCAGGACACAAGATGTAAGAATATAGATTCCTGGGTGAGTTTATGTAAATCAATTACACGTCCAGCTCCAATAAAAGTATCTGCTGAGAGCTTCAAAGAGTTCAGGGAAGCTGCAATAAAGAAAAGGAGTGAGGAAGCCAAGAGAGAACTGCAGAAAATTACTGAAGGAAAAGAGAGGTTTGTAACCATGTATGGTTTGTTTTAGTTTTTGTTTTGGTTTATTTTTAAATTGTACCGTACTGGAACCAGGGATGAATGGTTTGGATTAGGTAAGTGAGAGAGATTACCATGTGAGAGAGATTGCAGCTGCCTCCATGTGATTGTGGGAACTGTAAGCACAACTGCACTTCCAAAATCACAAACTGGATTTCTTGTTCTCTTGTAAATGAGCAGTAGCCAGGGCAATTCCAGTCTTACTGCTATCCTAAGAGGATAATCAAGTCTTCAAGAATTTGGTGTTAACATAGCTAAAGGAATCCCAGTGTGCACCACTTTAGGCAGCAGAATTCTCTGCATTTCTGTAGGGAAACATACTCAAGAAAGCTACTGCTGTAGCATCTTCCCTAGTTGTCTGCAGCTACTGTTTTAGTGTGTGCCCACATACCTACCCCGGTCTGAGGTCTATTATTATGCTGAGTGGGATAAGTGACTGCCTACTAATTACTGCATTGCAGTAATATCTTAGATTGGTGTTTGCCATCTTTTTTAAATTCTACCTTATGTAATATTTCCCTCTTCAGTAGTCTTAACTTTTCCTTATCTGTTTGACCCTGTGAAACACTAGCCTGAGCTAGTTCTTAAATTCTTCTGCTCCTCCATGTCACTGGCTGTATGAGAATAGGTCACTTGTTCAGTGTGTATTATTTTAATAAACAGAGCATTTGTGAGACTCATGAGTACACTCCCTGTTCAAAATGTGTAGTGAACAGCCCAGGCAGTTTCAGCTGCTGCAGGTTTCCACATGGAAGAATCTGGACATGTACCTCATGTAGCTCTATCAAATAAGGTACTACAGATGTTTGCCTGAAGTTAGGGAAATATAACTCAAATAACTAGTTGAAGAGGAAATAGGTAGAAGCAAAACATCATGGGTAAAAAAAATAAAATAAATGTGTGTATATGTCCATCACGGTGCATGTAAGCTTTGTCTAGAATATATGTAAATTCTGTGTGCATATAGATTGAAAATGGAACACAGGAAACATCCTAATACAGCCCAACAATTGTGTGCACATACCTCTTACAAAGGGAGATTACTATGAACCAACAGGTAAATCAGAACCACAGTTTGAGAGCTATGTGCTAATTTAAGCTCTTTGCAAAATTCTCTTCAAGTGCAAAGGCTTGTTGTAAAGAAGAAAAAACTTCTACACTGATCTCTTCTGCTTTCTTTAAAGTGGCCATGAAGGCACAGGTCTGGGTGCCATGGCAGCAGCCGCCTGCGAGCCCCAGAAAGAGCAGAACAAACTGCCTGAAGCTCAAGAACCTACTCCTGTTCAAGACCATAACTTGGCTAGAAAAATGGAACAAGAACGCAGGAGGACAGAAGCAGTAAGTTGCTGACTCTTGCCAGCTGTTTGTTTTTTTTTTCAACTTGAGTAGGGCATAAAAATGTTAGCTCATGTCCTTGCTTTAAAGGGCCTGACTGAAAACAGCAGAACTATCCTGAAGAGTTAGTCCAGAAAATGAAATGGGAAATTCAAAGTAGGTCTTCAAGTGGTGGAATATTAAAAGCTGTCTGTTGATACTATTGCTCCCATAAGTTTAGAATAATTGCACGGTAAAATGAAATTTTAAAGGGGAGTCCCTGCCTTTTGAATAACCTCAAACTTTGAGTCTTGCAAGGTATCTGTCCTCTTTAGTATATTCCATGTCAATGAAGTGCTAATCATACTGTTGTGGTCTGCAACATGAAAACTGAGCCTTTTGAATCATAATATTGTACAAAGGAATGTAAGAACTGCAGTGTGAGATCATGCTACTGAGGCTTTCATCCTATTCAACTTTTTTCAGTGAGAACTTCAACATTCACACTCAAACTTGTAATAATGGAGGAAACACACTTTTTAGGAAGAAGCTTTGTAGCTTTTTCTTTAATCTTTACTACTGTGAGGGTCAAATATTTAATAATTAATGTTCAGCTATTCTGAAAATACATTAATTTGCTTTCTTGCAGATGTCTTGGACAATTGATATATATCAGCAGAGTGACATTATGGCAGCTTTTGAAGAATATCTTCAGTAAAGCTGTAGCTAAGATAGAAAAGACTTCAAAACTACCGCAAATTTTGTAGCTCTGAAATTGTACTAGTTTAAAGCTCAACATTAAGACCACTTTAAAGAGCAAGTAAGCTTGTCTAAAATGCTTTATATTAAAAGCTTGTTCATTGACACTTGTGTGCCCACATACCTATCCCGGTCCTTTTTGCTGCTTGTTTACAGTATGTGTAATCTGCTACACAGTGGAGTGTTCTTTTGATTACAGTTTTATAAATTGTACATATAAGAGAAAATAGATTCTTGACTTTTTCTCATTTTTTTATTTTTTTTTTTCAGAAACACTTGAGAATCTGTTATATTGTACATAGCCAGATTCCTATGTTTGACTGTATTGTCATAGCATTCTAAATATGTAACTATAGAAACTACTTTAAACCAAGGTCTTGTCAATTACTGATTGCTATTAAAATGATCACTTTACTGTAACACACACAGAATCTGGGCTGTGACAAAAAGCCTCTAACACAATAGATTCTAAAAGGTTTGTAATGTTGTTTGTAATTGTGAAAAAAGTTTCCTGGAACACTGACGTTTCAGCCACAAATCTTGCATACTTGCATGCTTTTAAGGCCCAGACATGTTGATCTTCTGTTTAATGTGCTTATTTTAATATAACACTTGGATAAGGGTGCAAGCAAGTTTGTCAAATTGTTCTGGTTCTTCACAGAAAGAAATTATCTAAAACATCCTACTTCTGGCTCCAGTTTGAAAGGCTTTCTGATTAATACAAGTTTTTTATTAAAGTTGGGATACTTGTCTGAAGTAGAACTTAGCATGTAAAAAACCAACCTTCTTGTTGATAACATATAACTATCTCAAATTAAGTACAGGAGTAATACAACATTGTGTTATAGAATTAATACCAAAACACAATGTGTATTACAGAAATGTTGGGTGGAAGGGACCCCCTTGAGATTTAGTTGTGGCCTCCAAACCCTTTTCATCATGCTACCTTATCAGTAAAAGAATTCAAGCATGCACCCCCAAGAAATACATATTTATTAATTTAAAAAGTATATACATGTTCAACTGTACTAATATGTACGTTATTAAAAATACACAAAAATAGAAATTAAGAGTATTTTGATCATGTTTATTTATTTCTGTTTGCTATGTGTTTTGTTTTGTAATTTTTTTAAAAAATTGGTTTGTATTAAATATTTTCTTCCCATACTCCACTCTGGAGGCCAGTGATTTAGTTGAACCTCCCCCTCAAAACTTCCTCTTTGGAGACCTCCCGTCTGTCAAGTTCCCAGATCACAGTTGGAAGATAAGGTAACACTGCCAGTGCTGTGGTGATGGTCTGCTACAGACCACCCCACTAAGTAAACTAAGTGGACAAGACCTTCTTGAATAACTGAATTTTCAGATAAAGGAAATAAACTGCATCTAAATTAACAAATTACAGCTAAAGTTTGCCTTAAAGTGGTAGCCTAGTCTTTCAGGTAGCAGGCTGATGAGCTAGTGCTAGCTCCAAAATACTATTCTGTACTAAAATACTGTTCTGTATCTTTTACCTCTGCCATTGCTGGAATGGTAGTATTCAATTAAGTAGTAGAAACAGTGCATTGACAAATCTTCAGACTGGGAAATCACCCTTTGAAATGTCATGGGAAGTCCTCTTACCTGGATGCAGGCTCAAATGTACACTGCTTAGAAGATTTGAGTACCTGGCTAGGAAGAGTATTTAGGGTGAAAGATAGTTCATAATGTCAAGTGGTGCTCTTCATCCATTCTATATAACCCCCTGTACATTGCTAACGGTATGAACTGGTACTCTTCCCCTTCCAAAACTAATTCCAGCTTCCATGATTCTATATTGTCACGCTGACTTACAGCCACAACGTCAGTGCTGTTAATGCTAATCTGATAAACCCTTTCTTGGCAACCTACAAGCCAGCTAAGGAGGATAATCAGTTCCTACCTCTAGAGACAAGGCTGGGTTCAGAGAAAGGGAGATGGCCTCCATACATAAGTGAGTAGCAAGCCTATACTGATTGTGTTTGCCCACAGCTGTCACCACACTCAAGCAGAAATACCACTTTTGTAGATACAGACTGCAAACAAAATGCTGCTTTAAAGGACTAAGTATTGTTAGCTACTTAACACAGTAACTTAGCACATAGTTAAAATGTGTACTAAATTCTGTTATGCCATTAAGTTACCTTCCTCATTTGTGAAAACAGCTGCACCAATGTGTAATTTTCATACCTTCATAGATTGCACATCTAAATGAAGGTTAAGATAGTTAAAAGCCTTAAAAAGCTCCTCTGTCACCAATAAACAGAATGAGAATTTTTTAACTTTTATTTATCAACTATGAGTTGGTCAGGCTGGAGGTAGAGTCAATGACATGCAAAGTTGTCCTCTTTTGTCTCTCAGAGAAATGGTATTAGTTGAACTGACAAAAGATAGACAGATGGCACCTCATGGAGGTCAAAGCACGTAAGACAATTTGCCCTGGGGATGGTTTGTCTTGGCACTCATTACAACCATAATTTAAAGAAGAAGATGAGAAAATGAAATTACAAGGATGACAGAAAAGTAATTGTTGGGGTTCTCAGTTTTTCTTGTTCATATTTTCTTATTCATAGTTGCCATGAGATAGACAAAAGATTCTAAGCTTTCTTCTTTAAGGAAGGTATTTGCTTTGTATCGGGACCAGTGCTGCTTAACATCTTTGTTGGAGACATGGACAGTGGGATTGAATGTATCCTCAGCAAGTTTGCTGATGATACCAAGCTGTGTGGAGTAGTTGACACCCTAGATGGAAGGGCTGCCATCCAGAGGGACCCTGACAGGCTGGAGACATGGGCCAAGGCCAAGTGCAAGGTCCTTCACCTGTGTCGTGCAACCCCAGGCACAAGTACAGGCTGGGGGGAGAATGGCTGGAGAGCAGTCCTGTGGAGAAGGACTTGGGGGTGGTAGTTGATGAGAAGGTTGACTTGAGCCACCAATGTGAGTTGGAGCCCAGAGAGCAACTGCCTCCTGGGCTGCATCAAAAGAAGTGTGGCCAGCAGGGCCAGGGAGGTGATTCTGCCCCTCTACTCTGCTATGGTGAGACCCCACCTGGAGTACTGTTTACATCTCTGGAGCCCTCAGCACAGGGAAGACATGGAGCTGTTGGAGTGGGTCCAGAGAAGGGTCACAAAGGTGATCAAAGGGCTGGAGCACCTCTACTATGAAGACAGGATGAGAGAGTTGGGGCTGTTCAGCCTGGAGAAGAGAAGGCTCTAGGGAGACCTCAAAGCAGCCTTCCAGTGCCTGAAGGGGGCCTACAGGAAAGCTAGGGAGGGGCTTTTCACCAGAGAGGGTAGTGATAGGACAAGGGTAATGGTTTCAATCTGAAAGAAGGTGGATTTAAGTTAGACATTAGGAAGAAATTCTTCACCATGAGGGTAGTAAGGTGCTAGAATACGTTGTCTAGGGAGGGTATGGAAGGTGTTTGGAGGTGTTTAAGGCCAGGTTGGATGAGGCTTTGCAACCTGGTCTAGTGTGAGGTGTCCCTCCTCATAGCAGGGAGGTTGGAACCTGATGATCTTTAAGGTCCCTTCCAACCTTAATGATTCTATGATTCTATGATAAAGAAACAGTTCCTTAGTAAAAGAGGAATTCTACTGTGTCCTTGGCAAACAGAACAGCTAAGATAGTGCAGCTGGAGATTCCCAGAAACACTAAGCCAGGGTGTGCAGCAATATCATGCAAAAACCACTCAGAACTGCTAGGTCCCCAGCACTACCATCTTCTCAGCTCTGATACTGGATCCATACCTGACATCAGAAGTTGATATAACTGAAGTCCGTAGGCTATTGCAAAAGGCTTGTATTATTTAGAAGCTTGACATAAAACTACCTAGGTGGTTAGTGATGTATGTACCATAAATAGACTTAGTTTTATTCTTGTGATAAAACTAGCTCTACAGTTGGTACAAGAAATATGACACAGCCTGGCCAAATACCTGCTTATAATGAGGCACATCATGGTTCTATTCACAATCCTTTGTGTATTCCATATGGCTTCTATCACTCTGTGAATGCTGTGCCAAACTTATTGCTGGGCTTCCATCAACCTTTCTTAGAACTAACTGGAAGTTGTTGGTCAACTCCAAGATTTCCAGTCTTGGTTTTCCAATTTTTCTGAGGAGATGCTTTCTACCAATTCATTCTGATTGATTACTGGTTTATTACGGAATTAGATGACAACTATGATACAAACAACAACATTGGTTTCTTTGCTCCTGCCAAACTTTCTAACTTATCTAACTGGGTCACTGGTTTACTGAGGTGCACTTCAGCAAAAATCCTGCTGCAGCAGGATGTTGAGAAGCTGGGAAGGATTCCTCCCTACAAAAAAAGGTTATTAACATCAAGTCTGATGTATAAAAAATTAGCTATATGCTAATCCTAGGGCTGGTGGTATGAGTAATCTGTGCACGAACGGAAGGCTCAGGCTTGGTAGGCATGATTCATATAATCCTACTGGAGTCTGCAGAGGTTAGTGTCTTAACTGAATCATCAGCTGCTGATGTCATTCCTTCTCTTCTTGCCCAAGAGCAGGAAGGAGCCTTAAACAGCCCAGCACCTTTTCCCCTAGCAGCCTAACACAGCTCTTGACCTTAAGTTTGTAGGGCTCACATTGAGACAATGAGCAGCAGTCATGGACACACAATTCAGTATTGTCAGCTGATGTGGGTTGTTTATATGTCATTTGTGTTATTGGCAAGAAGAACCTACATAGCTTTTTATACTTACTTGAAGGTGTATTCTTTAGTAGTTTAAAAAAATTCAGGTAATGGTTTTGTGTCTTATTTAAACTTTTAAATACACCAAAAATGCAATCATGGCCAATTCTTTAAAGCATACTTTTCTGCTGCTTAAGTTTTTAACTGGATATTTTTAAAAATCAGAAATTTTAACTGGTTAAAATCAGCATTAATTCTGTCATTGCCTTCAGTGGGACCAGGATTCAACATCAGTGTCTATATTTGTATGTCTGAATTTAGAACAGAAGTAGGAGAAAGCATTTGGTATGTTACAGACAAAAATTGCCTACAAGCTGTGTTCCATGCACAGTGAAAAAAGATACATATTCCATCTGTATATATGCCTATCGAATTTGTGGGTTTTTTTTAATAGCTCCTTAAATTACATATCTTAGAGTTAATAGATGCATGGTGTCTTTTACCAGCTTCTACTTGCACTGCTGGACAAATAAAAGTAAGTTTCTTGGAGGTTCTAATCCTCCAAACTCACCTGGATCAATAAGAAATTCTGGTCTTCATCAAATTCAAAGCAAATTTGGCAAAATCCTCCTCCCAAAAAGGCAGGCAGTTGCACACAGGCCTACACTATCAGCAGTGACTCTCATGTGACCTGTGCAAGTCTCTAGCCCACCTGCACCCTCTGGTCTGAGCAGCAGGGGTTCTAGATCAAGGTGTAAAAGTGAGCGGGCTCTGCAGCAACTTGGATCAGGAGCTGTCAGGATTTAACCTCCAAGCTCAGTCAGCAACTATTATATCCACATTCTGTTATATCCTGGAACTAATTAACTGTAATTTTTCAAAACTTGCATTTTTACAGCCATAAAACATGTAAAACCAATTACTTAATGCAGTTATGCTTTTTTTTTTTACACTTTTGGATTATATTAACCATTCTAAATTACCCTTTACCGTGTGTAGCTGATCAGTACTGACCAGCACCCTTCCTATCCCAGCATCTGTGGCTTCCTGCCTGACTCTGTGACTCCTGGGCTTGTGCACACAGCAACTTACAACTAATGGTTGTTCAGTTTCTAAAGTCAGCCTTAGGCAGCTGAGATCTCCATACCAAACTAACTCTTGGAATAGTAATGATGATCTAACTTCCCCTTCTAGCAAATTTCTCAGAGTAAGTTGATTTAAAAAAATTATAAATGTTGGTGTCTGAGCTCAAAAATTGTATATTTTTAAGAAACATTCATAGGAATAGCATGTAGTAAGTAAAACTGCAATGCATTTACAAAATCACCTTTAAATGGGTAACAGTGAGGCAGCAGTGAGTGTAGAGCCTTGTACAGCCACACACCTACACGCTTCCTTTCACACCTCACTGGGGCAGGTGCGACCAAGTACGTGACCAGAGAAGCAAACCTTGGCCTCCGAGGAGCTCTGCAGGCGCTGCCGCCGAGCCTGTCCCGCCTGCCCCACGCGCACTTTTCGCGGTGACATTTCCAGTTAGTTTCGGTGTATTTGGCAGTTCTGCCAGGGAGCGCAGCTGACAGCCCCGCTCCATTGCTCCAGGGACCGCTGCTTCTCACTTCACTACGAAATAATCTGGGGAAGGAGTCCCGGGGGGCCGGGCGGGTGGCCGGGCGGGGGGCCGCCCCCCTTGCCCGCAGCGCCGTCGCCCCCCGAGCGCT